GAGTGTGAAGATTAGTGGTAGTGGAGACTGAGGTGTCTGTATTACGTTACTACTCTCCTGGTATAAACCTTGAATAAGAACCATACTTAAGGCTATTTTGTACAGGCTATTTGATTGTGTACTTTTCTTATTTTTATGAGCATTCTATTCACTTAGATGATGGTATCATTCAAATCCCCTTTTTTTTAAAGTTTGCTTTTACATACGAAAAGCGTTTAAAACCAAAATCTTTAGGTTAAGTGCTCACAGAATCATGCTAATAAATAATATCTACAGAGCAGGGCACTCTGAATGTCTACCTGAGCAGTGTTGTTTAAATATCTTGAAGTATTCAGAAATAATAAAACTGAACTGGTATATTGATCTTGGTGACTAGCAGAGGAATCCAGGACGCGCGTTTCTTCCTATCTAGGACTCATCAACTCTCTGGCGTTTGACGCGAAGATTACTGGGTTCAAGCCTCAGTGGAAACAACACTCACTGGGGTGCAGGTACATCTAGCTGACGAGTCCCAAATAACACGAAACGTGCTAGTCTTCAAGATGAATACAACCTCATGAGTATTCAGAAGTACCGAGGCATCCTCATAGGAGTCCAACTGCCAATAGAGTTTGAGCAATTCGGCCCTGTATAGCAACCGGAAATTATAAGTATCATTACAACAACTGGATTGCGTTACAGATTGATGTCACTTGATGGAAAAATCATTGTTGGGATTCTTAATAGTGATCATCCGAAGGTCTTGTTAAATCGAAGCTAAGTCACCGAGACCATGTAATGTGATTTGCCTAGTTGATATTTAGTTTCCCAATCAGATCTTCCACATACTGCACAACCCATTTTCAAGTGTTGTATGTATTTCGACGCTTGATCACTTTTAGAATCTATGATGTAATCACCACATTTTCTTTATTTCATCAAACAAAACTAGCATTTCAGGAGTGTAAAGTATTGGTTCTCATGGGGAGCGGGGTGGGGTTGGGGGTGCAGACGTATACGCCTTGCAAAAATGCTGAGACGTCTGTATACCCAATGTAGCAACTATACGATACTTTTCGCTGTTTCACTTAAACTCTTACAGCTTTCTTTGATTTATTGTAATTCAACCGACGTGTTTATGTATACACATGAGAGGTGACCTTGTGCAGAGAGTGAAACATTAACATAGTGAAAGTGGGAAATTTTAAAGGTCACCCTAGTAACCACGAAATTAACCAATCACGTTTCGGTATTCCATCTAGACAGGTGGTTTTTCATAAAATAGAGAAGCCTAATTGGTTATCTCCACAGTTGCTAGGGTGGCCTTTAAAGTCATTCGCTAAAGTAAGCATTGACCAATCGGCAAATTACCTTGAAAATAGGAGCAGAAAATTAACTACTGGCCATGCCATAACAAATGGCGTGAAAACTATAATTTTAAAAAATGTTTAGACTGATAAACAACGTTTTGTGGGAATCTGGGGTCTTCCAACACCTCCTTTTTTAAAATAGGAAAACATTGATACCTTCACATTTTGGGATCCAGTTGGAAACGTACGGTTTGAGACCACTTCCGATCTTCTGGGTCGAAGCTTCTTGTTGATAACGGTTTCAGGTTCTTTCAGCGTCGTTAGTAATTTACACGCATCCAGTAACATATCAAATGGTACGGTCCAGTTCTCTGTTTGGTTAGCCTCACTGTAACACACGTTATTCTTGTATGCTGCTCATTTCTGTCTTACATCACATTCCCGCGTCTTCCAGTGACAACGCCTTCCGTTCGCATAGATGTGGTCTCCCTTGTTGAAGTGTGAACCGACTATTTGCGTCGTTTGTGCACGACGGGACGGTAACAGTGCATGATGTGTAGTACGTAGCTTCCATTCCATTAGTTTACAGATTTGTTCTTTTCTCTGTAGCTATTGTTATTGTTGTTGTCGATTGTGTGTTGTTTTATTTTCAACTTTGTCTTTGTTATCTACCTTGTTTTTGTCGGTCTTACCTACAGTCTAAGATTGTAAATATAATTGAGAAAGCAAACTGATGCTTCATCATACAATCTGTTATAAACATCAACTTGTTATGCTGTTTAGCTGACTGTATTGTTCATTTTGTCTAGACAATATCTCTTGGTAAACAATTTGTTGACACATATGAATACAAAGTCATAAATACTGAATTCTACAACGCAAATCATTACTTTGATTATATTAATGGTTATATAGCTATTAAAGGTATTGACAAACTGAAAGTTGGTAGTGTGCAATCCTGAAACTCTTCAATAATTTCATTTTATGATCATAGGGTCTGAGAATCGAGACATAACCTGAATACACATGTTACTGAAGAGTTCTGTTTGGCATGACACTAAACTTTAGATTTCATTTCACTTGTTATATTCATATTACCTTTTATTTCAAAGTGTGTTCTGCATTGATGTCAGGTGAATTGATATGTAGATTTGCGTTATTATACTCTTCTGTGGGCTGTTCCAAGCTGTGCGTTTCTAGGTGTGTGTGTGTGCGTTGTTTTGACTCTCCAGTCATCAATAAAATTACCCACCTTCTGTTTCGTTCGGTAAACTGCGAGTCCTGAAAACATCTCAGTGTTTTGAAGAGATAAGTAGTCGGTAAGAATTCCAGTAGAATGAAGAGTGTACAACCAGTTAGTGAGTCAAAAGTTGAAGAAATCCCTATGCTTATTGCTAAACAATATTATGAGCAATTATACACGTAACTTAGATTGGTAATTGTATTATCCCATCGTCGATTGAACCGAATTGATCGGTCTCTATTGACATATAGGCTGTTGCACAATCGTGACTCGGTAGCCTAGTGGATGACAGTCTGGCGTTTGAGGCAATCAGTACCGACTTCGATTATCCAGCTAACGAGTCTCAAGTAGGACGAAACGCGCGTCAAGCTGGATTCTATTGCTATTCATCATTAATATAAGATTGTATATATTGTTGAAATCTAGTTATTGTCATCTTTTATGTTCTAGTGCAAAGTGAATTCATTACACTTTTCGGTGGAGCATTTTGACAAGTGTTATTATTATTATTTGTCCCTTAGGTTCCTAGTGGAACATAGAGCTTCAGTAGCATGTCGCCATTTCACTCTCTTCTCTGCAGTCTTTTTAACCTGAGTCCACGACTGCCCATAAGCTTTCATTTCTTCCTCATGCGATCTCTTCTATGTCAACCTCGGATGCCCAACTCGTCGTTTCTCATTTGGATTCCACTCGACGGCGTGGCCTGGCGCATGATGTCCCCAAACACACCTAGAATGCCAATGAACTTTTTACAGACAACAATTGCGTCAACGTCAGGGCATTCAATAGCCATTGATAGTATGCCTTCTTTTTCTTCTTGACAAACTCACTTCATTTAATGTAACACGGAAAAGAAGTTGGTGCCGAGCTACTCAGGTTGCCAATAGTTGACTGCTTGTGCACACAATAAAGACAGGGTCTTCTGAATGTCAACTCAGGTGAAATAGTCGTCCAACAATATTTGTATACTCTTTGCCGTTGAGATGTTCGACTATCTATCAAAGGACAAACATAATGCACTGCAATTCGTTTTGTACTGTTGTACAGATGTAAGACGTGGCCGTTAAAAGTAGAAGACACCAACCGATTACAGGGTTTTGATTAAAAGTGTCTTCATAGCATCACTCGCGTTTGGTGGAATCACCATGTGAGCAATGTGGAAGTCAGGCGAAGAGTACTAGGTAAATTGGATTAGGTTGAAAGAAAACTCAGAGTGACCAGACCAAGACATGGCACCAGTCGACGAAGCCTCTTACTGTTAGTGTGAGTCGAGTGGGGCGACATAGACCGTCTGGTTGGGGTCCTCGTGGCGAAAGGAACCAATGGTTGTCGATTCTTGGTGACGGCTGAAAATCGGTCATAGTGGTGCAGATGTGTTCACTCCTTGACATCTTCTAAAGCCTGAATGTTTGCACTAAACTTTGTCTTCCAATTGTTTATTATCTTACACAACTTTGTCTACTTTGCTAACACTTTTCCTATGCACTTGTTCTTTGAATGTTGCTGTGAATTATAGTAACTTGAACCGATGCATCTGTGTGCGAGATTCTACGATGACTTTGTCACTCTGTTAATCAGTATACTTTACAATGGTAGCTGACTTCTTTCAGTCAATGAATATGGAATTTTACTGCATTGTGTTGATGAAGAGTTTTCAGATACATAGTTTATTAACACTTTCTCTCATGAAACAGCTTGACTGATAGACTGTTAAAATGACTCAGTAGGATATGATTCAGAGTTAATACCGATAAAGAACATAATAAAACACTTGAACTGTATACAATACTCATTGTTCCCTGAGTGGCGAAAATATCAGAAAACAACTACTGACTTGTCATTACATGGATAAATCTCTTGAACAGAAATGCATTATAAATGCTCCAAGTCAACAATAAAATACTTTATCCTGATTGGCTCTTCAAAGGATAAGATTGTCCAATAAGATTGGTCCTGACCGTACGGTAGCACAGATTAAAATTTGAAGCTTAAAAAAGTCTACCTTATTGGCCAGTGACTTTTAAAATGTTGATTTCCACTTATAGGTGCTTTTACCTATCAGCTTCTATGGTCACTGAAGAGTTGAGAATCATTTTAAGTTCGCCGTCTGTTCAGTGGTCAATGCATGGTGAATATCTGTCGATTATTAAAAATTGGTTTGATAATAGTGAAAAGAACTAGGCATTACCGTTCACTTACAATTCTCTAGGTCTATTAGTAGGATTGCTTCTTTTCTATTGATATAAATCCCCTCAGAGACAGTTTTAGTGTGAAAGTTCTGAGGAGTTGGAATATGCTGTAATTATCTGAAGTCTACTAATGTGTTTGTTGAATTGATCTATACTTCATAAGCTTTACTTATTGTGTTTTGACGCTATTTTCAGTCGGCTGTCGAACACGACTGTTCTTTATGCCTTACACTTAAGGATACAACTAAAATTTTGTTTTTTTTCTTTTTACTTACCAAGTTCAATCTAATTTACCAGAAGCTATGGATATAGAAAATTCAAGAATCTGTGAAAATTTTCAGTATTCCTCCTCCTCCACAATTTCATCAGTAGGAGGAGGAGTAGCAACAGTAACCTCATCCTCTTCAACCGTTTCCACTGTCACAACAGTGACAACAGCAACAACAACGACAACAGCAGCAGCAGCAGCCAATACAACCACGAATACATCATTAACTCAAAGACAGTATTATCGATCGCATTGTGCGCGTCCCAGATTCACTTATGCTACACTAATACGTCAGGCGATATTAGAGTCACCGGGTCAACAACTATCATTGAGTGCTATCTATGTTTGGCTACAAAGAGAATTTGCTTACTTCAGGCAAAATGAAGCAACATGGAAAGTGAGTTGAAACTTCTGTTTTTCAAAAGAAGTAAAGATCTGTTCTCTACCCCCCATTAATATAGAATTTTAACTTTAGATTATTTAACAGAAAATACATCATCTACATGCAGTTTTCATTCATATATAAAAAAACTAGGTTGAAAGTTGGATATTTATTTTGATTGGCTAGCTGAAAGACAAAGTTGTTCAACAAAGTTTTTCTGCTCACACAGTAATATGAAGGTTGAAATCGAAAACTCTTTTACCTTGACGACTGATGACCTTGAATACTGATTTCGATTCAGGCTGTTGCTTCCTATCACACGATGTGTAGACAAGACATTGAGTTGGCAACTTTTTTTTGTGGGGGGTCGAAGAGATTCGATACTGCATTTTTATTTATCAGGCCCATTAAATGATCTTGAAGTAGCTAGTGTTGTTGAATTCCCTTACTCAATGCCTTCCGACTGATTTGCATTGAAGTTTAATTTACGAGCAGGAGGTGAAATAAGGTGGTTATTAGACTGTTAATTAAATGGTAAGTATACTCATTATCCTGTTGATGGCTATGAGGTAGTTTCATTGATAACATACTAAGCTTAGGGTCAGTGGTTGGATAGTTGAATGCTTGATAACCTCCTTCAAATAGGTGACTGAAACACTGTTGAAACGTTTTGTGTGACAGCTCCACCGGTTTCCAGTCACATATCAGTTGCCCACTATTCAGTGTTAGCTTATCTGTGACGTTGGCATAAATTAATTATACAACTCCTACCGAAGTTTCGATGGTTGTTTGAAACCTGAGAAGCGGTAAAACGTGAATACCTGATGGCTAGTGTCTGGACGTTTTTTACAGATAGTAGTCAGACTTTCCTAGTTAGAATAAATTACGAAATTGAAAGGATTATTATATGAATGGTCTAGAGTTATAACCATTCCAGTTTGCAACACACAAGAGAAATCTTTTCACCACAGGGGAGTTCAACTGAGTAGATTTTAGATTTCATAGTCATTTGATGCTTGACTGAAGCTAGAGAAGAATAAATTTGCGACAATACATTACTAACAAGTTTTTCATCTTCTGATAATTGTCACTTTCTTTAGGGTGAAATTCATTCCCATCAATAGATAGGTGTTTTCCTAGTGTCTGACTTTGAAGGGTTCATCAATCAAGTATTATTGATTGGTTACTGAAGAGTAACCAATTTCAATCGAGGCTGTAGATACGCCTTGCTGACGAATGCCAATAAACATGAAACAAAGGTCAAGAAGGCCTTCTTACCGGTCGCTTCCATCCAACCAATATCTATCTCAGTGCATCACGATGCTGAGACTCCTAGCTTGGTGACCATACTGCAAAAATGATTGGTAGAATTCGTTCAGCACTTAAGACTAGACAACATGAAGTTGTTTAGCCTCCAATGATCAGTTAGTGTGTCTAACCTAAGAGACCAATGACGACCTGAACAGCTCAGTGATAACGTCCCTGACTGCAACATTGGGTTTCGTGGATTTGAGCCTCAGACGCGACATCACTTTCATTGAGGCTACAGATATGTCTTTCTGACGAGGATCCAGAAGTGCCTGTCTACGATGTTCATAGTCACCATTCCTGCTTAACTTACCTATCGATATGCCAATGGATGTAACTCAAAGTAACTCCCACTTTTAAGGATTTACATACTCAGAAGAGGTCATCGGACTGACGTAAAGTGTCCTGAGGACATAGTTTTGCTGATCAAAGGTGTTGAATACCTTGATCAAGTATGTTTGACATGTTTAACGCCTGTTGAATGTAGGATGATTGTTCAGGACTGGTAAGTGGAGTAGTCAACACATTCCATCACCTCATTTCATATCGATAAACTAAGAGGCAGTTTTACTAGCCTCGCCAACTTACACCTTCCCTTGTTCTTCCCCTATCCTTTCTCCCTTTGTGGATGGTTGTGAGGTGTTATGGTGAATTGTTTCTTTGTCTGGAAGTTATAGTAAGGTGGATGAACCATGAGCCCATATCTTGATCTTTGCTGGCTTTTGATTCAGTGTCAACTCTGTATAAAAACCGTTTCATTAGTTTCATCATAAAATGTCAATTGGCCCAGTAATATTACAGCGTTTCATTCCCCCCTTATCTCCTTCCATTGGTTTCCTTTCACTTTATGCTTCCTTGAAGTTTGATATATAAGAAATGGAAGCCGAACAAATATTTAAAGTCGATCGCTTGGCATTCAACCTTTTCATCGTTTTAATTTGGTGGTTTGCGGGAATTCAGTGATTTTTCATGTCGGTATTCATCATGGATTGACATCAGTTGGAGGAATATTGGAAACCCGGGAGTAATGGACATTTGTTTTATCCCATTATCAGACTCCTCAGCAGTGCGCACCCATCACCCACCCCACATCGCTAGAGATCGAACCCACAACGTTCGGGTTCCGTGGTCAGCACGTTAACGTCGGGCTAGCCACTGGGCTGGAATCTGGTGGTCCATATTTCCTACCTCTGTCAGTTCACAACACCACCCAATGTCATCATTGAGTAGTTGTCCTCACGTCCACCGAAGTTGCCCATCAGTCACGACTTCACACCTCCCCTTTTATATACACAAACACACAACTAGACTTGAGTAATGTGATATACAGCGAGTTGTTAATATATGCTTGTTCTCTAGGATAGCAGCCTTCAAATCTCACCCTTGACAATCACTCGACTGCTTGAAAACAGAAAAATCAGTAAAACGATGGGTTTATCATCAAATTCACAATACAAAAAACAGTTTCTATGTAGTAGTTTATTCTCAGTAACTGGTTATTTCCAGACCTTCCTCGGAGAAAATTCTCTATTGATTTTATCTTCTCAATGACTCTGATTATAACCCATACGATCATATGGTTTTCGGAAAACTTTCCAGTAAAACTGATTGGTGAAATAGTGGAGAATATTTGTAGCTCAAGTGGATGGTCTTGGTTGTATTGTGTTCTCTGAGCTGGGTTGTTTAATCGTGCAGAAGCTTTCATTGTCCTTCTAGACGATATCATCAGCACCAACAAATTCCTTGCAAACACTATTATGCAGATCAAAGGATGCGACAACCAAAGAAGACAAACCGAATATCATTTACAAAATTGACTGCAATCACTGTAATCAACACTACATTGGACAAAGTGGTTGCCCTCTTCGCCTTTGTCTACATGAACATCAATTGGCTATTAAATGTCACGACATTTCATCACTCATTTCAATCCATGTGGATATCAACTATGGACATGAATTCCATTTCGACAATGTAGAAATTTTGGACGGAGAGAGGAAACACAAAAGATATCAGAGAATTCCTAGAAGCTTGGCATTCAGACCAGTCAGTCAGCAACCAACAGATGTATAGACATAGACCCAATCCATGAACTGGTGAGAAAGACGATAAACGACAGAAAGGTGAGAGGTGAAGCAGAAGAACAGCCAACGGGAAGATCTATACAGTCAGTCAGTGACACAACAGTCAAAGGAGACAATCAATCACAAACGAGTTGATCAGGGCAAGCTACTAAATTGCGCACGGAGCGATATTGACAGCTCACTTCACAGTGAAGTTAGTGCTGATGATGTTGTCTAGAAAGACGATGAAAGCCCCCCGACTAAACAATCTAGCTCAGAGAACACAATACAACCAAGAAATCTGAATGGTTCTGAACGTTTCCTAGAATTTTGAGCTAACTTATAAAATAGGTCTTGTCATACAGCCCAAAGTAAAATGGTATATCAGTGATAGGTACTTAACTCATAAAACACAGATGCCATTCTCCTGTTAAGCGAAGACGCTGATAAAATGCGAAGTTTACTGAAAGCTTTGAGTAGAAATTTGGGTATGTTTGGTATGTGTTTCACACCTGTTGAATGCAAAATGATATTTGAGGACTGATCTGCAACTACTCTCAGTTTAAAGATAGCGTGTGAAGTGACCACCTCCGTTACTCGGAAAGTACTATCAGTTCAAGTCGGTTGGTTGATGACGAGACCACAGTTTGGAGACCTCTAGTACCGGTGAGATATTTATGTATCGAATAAAAGACGAGTATACTGTACTGCAGTTTGCTTTGTCGTGTTATAGGGCTGTGAAGTATAGCTGTTGAAAGTAGAAGGAATGAACAGGTTGCAGGTTTCTGACCCCGGATACCTTCGTAGCGTTACTCATGTGTGGTGGAATCAGCGTGTCAGAAATGTTGAGGCTAGATGAAAGGAAGGCAAGTCAGCCTAAATCTAATTCAATGTGCAATGTTAACCAAATTTGGATTGTGTTGAAAAAAGGCTGGGGTTGGTCAGTCCCAAACGTGGCATTACTCCATGAACTTTATGACTGGTTGGTCTGCACAGTGAAGAGGGGTTTAGAACCACGTGACTGGGGTCCTCAAGATTAAAAGAATCAATGGTAAATGGCTTCCAATCAGTTATAATAGCGCAGATGTATTCAGTCTTTAATGTCTTCTGAAGTTTAGACATTTTCACTGGCCTTTACTTTCAAATCCCTTCTCTTCCCGTACACCCTTATCTACTTTGATATCAATCTTCTTCGATCTACTTGTTGTTTGTATGTTACTCTGAAGTGTAGCAACTTGAGATGATGCACTTGTGTGAGAGGTTCTACGTTGAATTCCTACCTGTCTGTCTATCTGAAGTAGTAAAGAAAATAGTTGACGAACCAGTTATCTGAGCCTACTTTGATACTACTCAACACCATAACCTTCAGTTGCTAAGTGAGATCCTAACCAAATACTTTTAGGGGTGTCATGATGACCATCTGATCATTCAGTCATGAAATCGAACCCTAATGCTTACAATTTCCTAACTGCCATCAATTTACGATACATAGTGTGACTGTCACTCAAGATTAGTCAATGAGTGCTCATCCGTTCTCATTATCGACTCCGTTGACTGTTTACAAACACCACAAATAAACAACCTCGTCTTCCATTAACCCGATTCATTCAATAAATATTTTCCTCCCTTAGTCTGTAATGCAGCGAATAATTTCTTTCCATTTCTAGACAATAAGTCAGCAATCATAAATTTCATGTCTGTAAACATAAGGGAGATGTATATGTGTCTAATTGCCATCATTGCTGTTATTTTCCTTTCTCTTCTGATAGGGTTAAATAATATTTTTGTTTAGTTGTTGTCGTATATGTGTCTGTGTATATTATATGTGCTTATGTATGTGTCTGCATATGTAATATACGTGGCTATTGATTAGTTTCTCAAGGTCACATGTTGAGCGAAGCCAGGCAGGCGGTCAGACAGTTCGATTGAGCTGTTTATTATTATTATTATTGTTGTTATTGTTTTCTTTAGTTTACTCAGCCCTCTCACTACTCAACTAATACTAGTACTCTCTCTGCTATGGTTGAATTCAGCAGATGTGTGTATGTACACACACAGGCAGACTAATCGATGCCTGGCTTAGGGCTTTGGTATGTTGTTGTTTGTGGCCACCTGTCCGTATGTTTGTGTGTATTATGGTGGATGAGTGATTACTGAACGATAAATAAGACTCATATTAGGATGCGTTTACTTGTTTATGTACAAACAAAAGAGGCTTGAAGAAACTTGTATTCATCGCTGTGTTTCAGGATATCGCCTACGGAATCGATTACTCAATAGTAGAATTGAGACAGATCTATATGCCTTCTCTTTTCAACGGTGACAAATACTCGAGTTTGTTGCTGTTTAAAATGATATAGTATTCATCATGGACTGACATCAGTTAGGGAACCATTGAGAATCTGGGAGCACTGGACAGCTATTTCGTTCTAGTATGGGACTTCTCAGCAGTACGCACCCACGATCCAGCTAGGGATGGATCTCAGGACGTTCAGGTTTCACGGTGAACGCGTTAAACATTCAGCCACTGGGTCGATTCCCAGTGGTTCACAGTTTTCAACTTCTGTCAATTCACGACATAGCGTGACTGTCACCCAAGGTCTTCAGTTAGCATCCCCATTCATCTCAAAAATAGGATATTTAATTGTTTTTTCTCTGAATTGACAAGGTTTAACTGTTTAGCATGATGTTGTGATCACCAATGTTACTCTGTGATAAATTCTAATTTATATAAGTGTAGAATTGTCTAACAGGTTGTAGACCGATCATTCACAAAAATTTTAAAAAAAAATGACGTCTACAGTGAAGAGGAGTTTTTCTTATCGACTAAGCTATCATATATATATTAGAAAGGGCAGAACACTTCAGAGGTACTTACTGTAAATGAAGATCTTCAATAGGAAAATATATTTACCTTCTAGAAGATATATGTAGAACAGTCAGAGTTTTATGATGGTTGAACATACTATTTTGGACAAATAGCGCCAATTTGAACTTCAACATCGATAATGCTTCAGCTACACTGAAATGCCATGATTTCACGCCCTTGATCGAACTTTATGAAAGATTTCTGAGAAGGAATTGATTGACTTGAATTCATAAAATATTCTGTTATTTAGCTGAAGATGTATCTCCCTTATCCCTTTTGGTAGTCAGATTGGGTAGTGTTGTCGAGGGCGTTTAACAAGCGACGGGTGATATAGCTCAAGTATTCAACTCCATAGCAACGAATAAACAGGTATGCACAAATTAGTTTAGCCCCATATGTGTAATGTTGTCTTTCACATATATTGACTGAAGTGTTTCTTGCAGGAGAAAACGGTTCGAAGGTTAGCAACGAAGATCTTGATAGTCGTCTCTCGGCTATTCAACTGAATAGTGCGATGAGTTGATTGCCTCTATTAAATGGCTCGTATTCAAGTTGTGTAATTGGTTTTCAATGCAGTTATCTGTATTTTTGGAGCTACTAAACATTACATACTACTAGCACCCATCATGAACTGATATCAGTTGGAGAACTAATGAAAAACTGACAACACTGAACGGCTATTACATACATTACTATATAGTGCTTATTATTGAAATGCTTCCAGATGGATATCGCGTAGTTCTAATGAGAACTAGGATAGTGTGGACCAAAGAACCCCGACTCAGTGGCTGAATGGCTAAATCTAAAGGTCCTGAGTCCGATCTATAGCTGGGTTGTGGGTACGTACTGCTGAGGAGTCTCATACTAAGATGAAACAGACATCCAGTGCTCCCAGGTATTCAATGGTTCTCTAACTGATGTCTCTCCGTGATGAATACTATCTTTATCACAAAATCCTTATTAACCTCAAAATACATATGTATTATACTGGATGATGATTGAAGATGAAGAGGAAATTTTGACGGCGGCCGGATTCGAACCAGCGACCACCAGATTTTCAGCCCGATGCTCTGTATTCGTAACTTAGTTTGATGTTACTGGGGATTTTATTTATTTTAGGATAACATTGGTCATGGACTGATATCAGTTGGAGGATCATTTAAAACTTTGGAGCCCAGGATAGCTGTTTCGTCCTAGTATGTGACTCCTCAGCAGCAACCACTCAGGGCTTGAATTCAAGGTACCAACTGAAGACCTTGATGGATAGTCGATCTGTATTACGAATTGACAGTAGTAGGAAACTGTGAACCATTGTACTTCACACAGGCGGGTGAATGGCTAAGGCATCTGTCACCAAGCTTTAAGGTCCTAAGTCCGATGCCTGACGGGATCGAGGATGTCTACCACTGAGGAGTCTCATACTAGAAAAAAACAACTGTTCGGTGATTGCAAGTTTTCACTGGTTCTCCAACTGATTTTAGTCCATGACGAATACTACCTTGAAATATATATTATCATTTATTTAGAATTTTTAAATACCAATATTTCAATCTGGAGACTAGATTGAAGACAGTTTACTAGAGTATGTCACACTGATTTTCTTGAGATTCAATTATGCCATTAGCTGGTTTTTTTAATTGGAGAGTAGTTCGAACTAGATTCAAAGTTAGCGAACCAAATCCCTGCAAATTTGAATCAAGCATACATCATTGTTTTATCGTATAGTAGTAGACATTCAATACCATTCTCTAGTCAGCTGTAGAAGTATGCCAATGAATAAAGCAACTTGCTAAACTCAAACATAATAATGATTGGGCAATTGCTTAGCATAATGAATATTAACATAAAAAATCAATAAATCCCCACAAACCCCCAAACTCAATTGATCTAGTGCTCATTGGTGGTAACTAGCTTTGAGAAGTGATTCCTGAAGTCCCAATGAGAAGTCGTGATCGGTTGGGCAAACCCGATCGACGTGAGGACATCTACTCAACGATGAAATTGGATGATAGTCACACTATGTCATGAACTGACAGAAGTAGAAAATATAGACCATTGGATTCCAACCCAGTGGGTTAATGGTAACATGCTATCCACGGAACCTGAAGGTCATGGGTTTGATCCCTGGCAAGGTGGGTCGGGGCCATGAGTGTGCACTGCTGAGGAGTCCTATACTAGTGTGACGAAACAACTGTCCATTCCTCCCAGGTTTCCAATATTCCTTCAACTAATATCGGTCCATGATAAATACCAACTTGAAAAATTGTTTAGCACATTTCAAGAATTTTTTTTTACGTTTCTCAGTGATAATTTCGTTGGTCATTGGTTCGTTGATCATTATTGCAGAGGAAAAAAAACGCTGAACAAAACGGTAAACGTATTTTATCGCCAGTTTGAGACACAAATTGTAGACACTATTCAACTTCATTTAATCCGATGAATGTTTTTAAAAATCTTTTCTTTATCCGATTTAAAGTTAAGCCAATATCAATACTTAATTTGAATACTGTGTCATCAACAGAAACGCAACGATGATGTAGTATACAGACCTTGTTTTTTCCACCTAATGATGAAAAATCTTCCCAGGAACCTTGATGGACACCTGATTACTTTCTACCTTTCAGTATCAGAATCTAAGATGTACATTCTATCCTATTTAAGGATAATCAGTTGAATACATCTTCATGTGCATTAATATTCTCAATGGGACTAGGATTGATCACACACACAACACTCCAATCTTCATTGGTATCTATTCAGTTACTTAGTCATGAGAACCACCTAATATATACAGTTAGTGTCGGCTGTTAATTGTCTGTACTTGTAATTTTTGGGAAAACTTGAAAGAATGATACGCATTGAAATGCAATCACACCCGGCTGATGAGTCTTGCATGAGACAAAACATCCATCTTGAATCTCAATGCTTACCATTACCAACGATGTTGAAATTAAACTTTAAGGAATATCAAGATGTATCAATTCAAGAAGTTTATGTAATCAACAAAAAGATGTGACAGTTTTAGTTGAATTGAAATAAACAATGAGATATTACTAGTATGTAAGCAGTATACTTAAAAAGATTTTGTTATTATTAAAGACACCTAGATCAGTGAAAATTAACTATGTACACATGCATATATATATATATATATATATATATATATATATATCATCTACTTTCTTTTCTTCTTCTACACTTTACATTGCAATAGAATGCTGTAAGACACAATCTGTCATTGCATAAATGCTTTCGACGGTTAGAAACAACCTCTGGATCTGTGTGGATTGTTGATGAAAGTGAATATCAACGACGTAAAGCAAAACGAGCAGTGTAAGTAACAATATGAATATATAGATCAACCTGTCGATTATCGTGTCTTTTTGCCATTTATATTATTATTATTATTATTAGTCCCTTGGGTTCCTAATGGAGCATAGGGCTTCAGTAGCACGTCCCCATTCCACTCTGTTCTTTGCAATCTTTTCAACCTGGCTCCACAACAGCCCAGAAGCTCTCATTTCCTCCTCGCACGATCTCCTCCATGTCACCCTCGCCTCGGACGCCCAACTAGTCGCTTCCCATTGGGGTTCCACTCGAGGGCCTGATGCGTGATGTCCCCAGTCGAACTTCTCAGTGTATGCCCAATCCATCTCCACTTCCTTCGACTACATATTTGTTGGGTGATAGGTTCTTGGTTGGTTCGTTCCCAGAGCTCCTTGTTGCTTATTTTTTCTGGCCATCTGATCTTCACTAGCGAGCTTAAGCAGTTGTTGATGAATGTCTGTAGTTTATTGGGAATCCCTTTCGTGACGCGCCAAGTCTCTGAACCATGCAGAAGCACTGACTTGACATTGGTGTTGAAAATCCGGGTGTTGTTCCACATGCTGAGTGCAGAAGATCTCCACACTGATTTCAGGTTAATGAACGCCTGTCCTGCTACTCTGATCCTGGCTGGTTTTGACGTCCTCGTCTGTGCCACCCGTAGTTGAATCAGTGCTTCCTAGATAGGTGAAGGAGGTTACTTCCTTTAAGTTTCTCCCGTTGATGGTGATTGGAGTTTGTTGTTGTTGTTGGAGTTGTTGGTGCGGTATCTTCATCACTTCTGTCTTCTCTATATTCACTTGAAGTCCCATCTCCACTTCTCTGCCTCTTCTGTCAACTTGTTAGTTTTCGTCTGTACATCTTCAAGTTTGTGTGACATTAGACACAAGTCATCACTGGCGAAATCCAGATCTTCTAGGATCTTTTCCACGGTCCAGTGTATCCCCCTCTTCTCGCTCCTCACTGTTTGTTGCATGATTCAGTCCAGTCGACCACAATCAGGAATATCATGGGTGATAGTAGACAGCCCTGTTTCATTCCTGTCTTCACTTTACTCCAAAGGCATCACTGAGCTTTCCATTGCGAATTACTTGGCATGTGGCATCTTCATATAGTTGTTGAATGAGGCTGATAAAGGTTTGCAATATTCCGTAGTATTGAAGCAGTTTCCAAATTACCTGTTGGTCGACGCTGTCAAAGGCCTTCTCAAAGTCGATGCAGTTGAGGTAGAGAGTTGAGTTGACTGCCATTCTATGCTCTGTTCTATGATGATGCGAAGCATTGCAATTTGGTCTGCACATGATTTGTGCTTCCTGAATGCAGCTAGCCTGTCCCGGTCGTAGTTTTGAATCCAGTGCATTCTTTAGCCTCTCCAGGATGATGCAGCTTAATATTTGCTTGCATTGGGTGGACAGGAGAGTGATTCCGCTCCAGTTCTTGCAAACACTGAGGTCTCCCTTCTTCGGCATTTTGACAAGGTAACCCTTCTTCCAATCAATGGCCAGGTACCTTCTCTTCCTTCCACACCTTCTGCAATAGTGGTGTGGTGTGAGCATGTCCATTGTTGTCTCTGCGTCTGTTCTCAGTGCTTCTGGCAGTATCCCATCTGGTCCTGCTGCTTTCCCATATTTCAGTAGCTTTATGGAGTTCAGGACTTCCATTTTTGTTGGAGGATTTATGTTCACTTGTAGTTCAGCGGTTGGGATGCAGGTGGTATTTCTAGACGAGGTGCAGGTTGTGGTGGTGGTCGATTCAAGAGCTTCTTGAAGTGGTCGGCTCATCGTTTCCTTTGTTTCTCTTTTTCGGTAATTATATTTCCTTCATCATCTTTTATTGGTTTCATCTGTGTTGATCTCTTCCCTCCAAGATAGTAACCTGGTTATTTGATACAATGTTGTCAGGTCTCTCCTACCAGCAGGCAGCCTGTTCTGCTTCACTTGCCAGTATTTCGTAGAAGTGTCTTTTGTCTTTGCGTGCACTCTTCTTCACTTCTTTGTCCAGTGTAGTGTTTTATACATTGTGCTCAGTTCCTCTTGTCGTTGTGCATCCTTGCACTGGTTTATCTTCCACTTCACCATCCTCCTCTCCCTGCTCTATCAGCTTCCAGGTATCCGTCGAGATCCATTCCTTGTCTTCTTTCTTCTTCCTTCCTAATACGGTTGTGCAGGTTTCTTTCCACATAGCTTTCAAAGACTTCCAGTGCTCTTCAATACAGGTTTCTTCAGGGATGTTGCTCGATATCTCCCATTTTGTCTTGATGGCTGGCGTGAAGATCTCCTTTGTAGTTTCGACCTTCAGTTTCCGAGTGTTGTACTTGAACTGTGGTCTATCACCAGCTTCCTCGAAGGCTTTCAACTTGATTTGGAAGGTTCTTTGCACTAGATAGTGACATGTCTGAACCTACATCTGCTCCTCTTCTTGACCTTGTGTCAAGTAGGCTGACTGCGTCTCCACTTTCTTCATATTGAGATAAAGTCGGTTTGATTTTTAGGGTGTCCTGGTGTCTGGTGAAATCCATGTCGCCCGCTTTGTGGATATCCTTGTGCTTGAACACACTGCCTGACTCCAATCACCAAATCGTTGAATGCATAGAATTCTGCAAACAATTCTCCATTCTCGTTCATCACCTCACCGAGTGCTTCTCGACCCATGGTTAGTTCTCTTCCTGTGTTGTCCGCTCCAAGTTTGGCATTTATGTCACCCCACCCATTAGAATTTTGATATCGCCAACTGAGGTGGTGTCTTGTCCAGTGTTGATTGCAGTTGTCTGTAGAATTCCTCCTTCTTCTCTTCATCTGCGTCTGCATTATTTGTAGGTGCATAGTGTAGCATTGTATGATTGTGACCTTCCTTCCTTTTGAGTTGAATCTTGCTGTCATGATCCTGATCCTGGAGGAGGAGATTAGTTCCCACTGCATGAGGGCCTTCGATGCTCTTCAAGGGGACATTATGATAGCCACTCCATAACTCAGTGTGCTCGTGGTTGTCGTCTGGGTGACAATATCGGAGTAGATTATTGATTCTCCAGTTGACAGTTTGGAGACTCCACTCCCATTCCACCTGCTTTCGCAGATTCCAAGCACTTCAATGTGCTACCTTTTCATCTCGTTTGCAATCTGGGCTGCCTTGCCAACTACGTTCAAACATGGTGCGGACATTCCATGTCCCCACGTTTACTTTCGCTTTCATCGAGGGAGAGAAGACACATCGGCCAATTGGCTTCCCGAAGGCTTTCACCAACTGGCGTCATTTCGCCTCTCCGATTCCAGCGAGGAATAATTTTGTTATTATTTTTTATATTTTGTTTGTGCTTTGAAGTTTGTTTAGCGGTTAGATTTGATTTACGGGGTAGGGTTGCTAGCCCTATGCCCAACCTTCCCTCTTTGTGTGGGCTTTTGACCGGCTAGTAACTAGTGAACTAGTTAACCAGGCGAGGTTGTCTTCTTGCCATTATTATTATTATTATATTTCGAAGTTGATGGGAATCTCATGTCTAAGGTAGTATTCATCATGGATTGAAAATCTGGGATTACTAGAGATCTGTTTCGTCCTGGTATGGGACTTCTTGGCAGTACACTCCTGCGACTCGACTAGGGTGGGTACTGCTAAAGAGTCCATGTGGGACGAAGCAGGTGTCCAAATAAAGTACGCTGCAGTGTTGTACCACTTATCTTAATGGTTATATTGCAAACTTGATCAATAGACTCCTGTCACTGCTGAGCACTTAGAACTAGACAAGTGCACCGACCATGCCCTGGTGATCAATTCATGCGAACTCAAGGTTTCTGGATAAATCATCGTGTGTCAGTGTTTTACTTCATAATGTTCTTAAGTATCATTGAGGAATTATTTCATGATAAATGTATTCTATGAACACTTACTGATACAGAGTTTGTGTATATCTGCACATTGGTGTAGATAAAAAGGTTACAATGGAAAGAGGTAATCGATAAATGAGGTTGAAAATGAAATAATCAGTAAATATTCACGGGAACTTGATACTTGTGCTTATCCTGATATTATCCCCCAGTTTAGAGGTGAAATCAATAAAAATCTTCAGCAGTCTTCAGAGAAAGGTTAAAAAATGTCTTTGGAGCTGTATAACATAGTAGCATATTCTGACATACTTGAAGTCGTGTAACTGAAAACAGCATTAATGATGACTAGTGATCATCAGTAATAGTGAATTATAAAAGGGAAATAGAGAGGTAGAGCATGGGTAATAGCTACTAATGAGTAATAAATCGTGTAGATTTATCAGTGAAACTGATATGATGAAATTGTCATAGAGTGGGTAAAGAAACTCTTCACCAAAAAGACGGGTGAATGGTCAATTCAAAAAAGCGATGACAAGAAGACTGGATGAAGAATTGTTCAACTGGTTTCCATTTTCACTGTAGTTGTCGAGTATCTTACGAAATTGAGGAACTTTTTCTATTGGCATAATAAATTTCCCTTGCAGACGTTGTTGGATAAACTTACAATGAAACCATGGTGTGTGTGTGTGTATGTGCGTGTGCGCGCGCTTATTTGCCTTCGTTTTTTCTTCTTTATTACTTTAAAGGTTGAATCCACTCGGACAGAAATGCCAATTCACCTTTCATTGTATTGTTTTTATTTTGTATGGGAATTATTCTTAATTATTTTATGTAGAAACATGAGAGTGTTTTCCTCCTGATATATACAATACTGACGACAGAGGAAAACTTAACTTTCTATCAAACATTTACCACTAAATAGCACACCTTTAGGGTGAATCGTGTGTGTGTGTGTGTTTATGTATCTGTGGGTTCGGACAAACATACATTCAAAGCTCCCTCCTCTGATGATCTGATTTTTGACCACAGACTAAATAATGAACTAGAAACTGTCTACAAACTGTGTGTGTGTGTTGTGTGTGTGCGTACACTTGCCATCTTGTTTGTACTTTTGCACAAATCAATCGATGAAAGTGTTTATTTTCTGACAATCATTACTTCTTTTCATCTTATCCCATCCCACAACTTAAG